TAATACAAATTCTTTGACTTTTCAATTCTTCCATTGTAAAAATCGCCGAGCTCAGAAAAACACGTCGAACCTTAGCGACTACCACAGACAAAGTAAACAGTGAATATAGCTGAAAATTTCATCATACTTTAGGGGCATGTATACCAACACAATAAAAAAAAAATTTTGACAATCAGACACTCCAGACCCGCGAAATTTAATTATTAGTAATTCCGGGTACTTTTTGAACAGACCACGTATATATGTATATATATATATATATATATATATATATAATATACACGTATATATATCTAATAACAATGATGAGAAATTTGTCTATAATTTAATAAAAAAGAAAGTTGTTCCTGGTTTTTCTTTGCAACAATAGACTTCTCATAAATCTTGTATATTTTATTAATGGAAAAGATGCAAGTCGAACTCGTTATAAACTTTACATTAAAAAGAACAATTTTTCTTTATATATATATATATATATATATATATATATATATATAATATTTGTTGTACTAGAAGTGGTTCTTGCAAAATCATGCACATTTGCAATATTTTAGCAAAACTTTACGATTCGATGCAAATTCAATAAATAATACATTTTATAATTATTCAGAAATACCAAGAAATAGTTTTACGTAAAAGAATAAATGAGATTTATTAATAAGTAATAGTTTTTTTTTTAATTTTCATTCATTTTGTATGTTATACTACATTTTTTAAGCATATATTTAGTCATTCAATCCAAAATTATATAGCTGACTTTAAAATTCTTTTAAAGTTTATAATATACTTTTTATAACCGATAATTAGTTTAAATGATAAAAATTATTTAGTAACAAAATACGCGGGTTTATCAATCATAAAAGTAGCTATTAAAAATTAAGAATTATTATGTTGACTTTAAAATTCATTTTTGGGTATACGGAGTTGTTGTAGAATATTTTGTTATTAGACAGTGTTGTAGATAATTTAATTTTAAACAAATTTGCCTAATATACTTTTTATATCCCGTAATTAGTTTATAAATTATTTAGTGAATAAATGCACCTTGTAAATCATGTCCATAAGCTAACCTATGTTACTTATTTATATTTAGTTGTTTTTTTTATTTATAAAATTTATTGTTTCTATTAATTATTGATTTTTTTCTTATAGTTTTGCCTATTGGCAAGTTGTAATCTCATATCGGTGTCAGTATTATAAAATCGTTATTTTCCTTTCAGTTCATTAATATTATCGATTCTTTTGGTGTTAATTAATTTATTCTAATTAAATATTTTTAGAATGACCTCAGCTATTTATTGAATTCAATTTAAATATAATAATATAATTAAATGAAAAATTATGACTAATGGAGTGCGTTGGAAAAATTATTCGTTATAATAAAAAAAACTGTTCAAAAATTGTACTTACTCAATTATTTATAACTTCTAAACTATTCATATGATGTAAATAATGTGTTTGGCAAATTTGTTTGAAATTAAATTATCTACGACAATGTCTAACAACAAAATATTCTACAACAACTCGGTATACTCAAAAATTAATTTTGAAATCTTCTAGATTGGTAATGACTACATGTGTCCTGATGGCTTGCATTGCTTTTATTAATATTCTATAACTTTTAAACAATTATTATTATTATTAACAATTATTATGATCAACATATTTGCCAAATTTGAACAAAATTAAATAACAAACAATATTGCCTAATACCAAAATACTCTATCTACTCGAAATAAATTTTAAATAATTTCCAAAAACAAAACTGTAATTTTTATAAGTCCAAAAGTTACTTCATAATTTTTTACAAGTTACAAAATATTTTTCTACATCCCAAGACCTGTTTTGTTTTAAATTAATATTTATAAAGCTATTATTTAATATCAATAATTCACTCATCGAATAGAATTGAAAAAACGATTTGAATATTTCGCACGTAAAAGAAATACATAATGAAAATGCATTTCGTTACAAATTTATGAATATTAAAATTATTATTCACTCTTTGACTAGTCACGTCAATAATAAAATAATTATATATATATATATATATATATATATATATATATATTATTTTTCAAGCAAACGACCTTAAGCATAGGAATTAGAAATTTATTTTTTCAAAATAACAAAACAATTATTTTGATTAGATTGACAGATTTCTAGTACGGTTTTTGAGTATACTGAGTTGTTGTAGGGCATTATAATGTTAGACAATTTTAAAGACTATATAATTTTGTATAAAATCTGCCAAATACATCATTCATATTAATCGAATGGTTTTAAAGTTACAAGTAATTTACCAAACTCATGCAACCACCATGTTAGTACTCGAGCTTTTGAAAAAAAAAACAATCACATTTTCTAACATTTTTTTTAGTATACCAAGTTGTTGTAGAGCATCATAATATTAGATAATATTGTTGATTATTAAATTTTAAACAAATCTGCCATATACATCATTCATATTAATCGAATGGTTTTAAAGTTACAAGTAATTTACCAAACCCATGCGACCGCCATGTTAGTACTCGAGCTTTTGACCAAAAAAGTTTCACATTTTTTAAAATTATTTTTAGTATACCAGGTAGTTGAATATATTATAATATTAGACAATATTAAATATAATTTAATTTTAAACAAATTTGCCAAATACATCATTCATATTAATCAAATACTATGAAAGTTATACGAAATAAATGCACCGCCTAGTATAGTCTATTTTCATCATCAAACTAATTCTTAGGAAAAATCTTCATAATATTATTTACTAATTCTTAGGAAAAATCTTCATAATATTATTTATATTACTCAACTTAATATAATTATGTATAAAATATATTAATGTTTTAAATAAATTTTATTATTATATTTTTTTTCTAATAGGCTTTGACGTACTTGTTAGGTTTTATTTCAAACAAAAAACTGTGTAAATAAAATGTCAATTTTATAATAAATTTTCACAAATATTTTTATATGTAAAGAATTTTAATAGTTGTTATATTTTTTGATATTTTTATTAGTAAAGCATTTTATTAGTTTTGTTTAATAATTTGTATTTATTTTTATTATTATTTAAATTAAAATCATGTCTAGAATCACGAAGGATAGCGATGGAAACTTACTGGTAAAAAAAATATAAATATTTTTTTTAATACTAAATGTTAAACACTATATTATTTTTATATTTCTGATATTTAAAAAATACTGTAAAATTATATATTTTAACATTGGATTTTGATCTAAAACAATATATTTTATTTACAAAAATTTTGATTGCATTAATGATTATGTTTATACAAAACAATTTATTACGCCCGGTGTTTTGCTGTAGATTTTGGTCAATGGCACAAATTATTGTTCGAAACGTTATATAGGGTAGTATGAGGTTTAAAAGTACTTTAAATTGCAAAATTTGGTATGATTTAAAATATATTAGTTGGTGTAACAATTTTGTATAAAATGCATGTGAACGTTTTCAGATGCATTTAGCATATTCGGTGTGTTTTTTTTCTCGTTTTTGATCCGTAGTGTAAAATTTTGTTAGAAATGTTATGTAATACTATATATTATATAAAAGTCTACTGAAGTATTCATATTTTAGCATAATAAAACAAGTATAAGTTCATGTGAAAAATTTGTGTAAAACGCTTCTGAAACTTTATCACATTTCATGGTGCATGTAACTTTCTTAGTCTGTTTTTATTTTAGTTTTTGGCTAATAGTTTGAAAAGTTGTTAGAAACTATATAAAATGTTGTACGTAATTTAAAAGTATATTAAATTGTGCATATTTTAGCATAATTTTGTTTATTTATGTACATATAAAAGATTTCTAGAAAATGCGCCTGAAAGTTCATAATAACTGAGGCTAGTTGAAAGAAGTTTTGAAAAATGAATTATTTTTTGAAAAATATTTCTAAAACTTACTATACATGTTGTTATTTTTAATATTTAAACAAAACCTTTAGAATGCATATTAAAACACCAAAAATTATTTAACAACAAAAATAATGCCATAAATAAATTTTTTAACACTTCTTCACGTTCCGAAATCAATTTTCAACACTCAAGAAACAAATGTAAGTTTTAAACCAAAAATATTACACAAACTATAAATTTTATATTTTTATCATTTACCCAAAACCTTCAAAATACTTTCTGCATCAACAAAAATAAATAAATATATTTAAAATAATATTAAATAATTTTTTTTAGGATCCCATGTGCGATCCGAATAACCCAAGAGTAGTAACTTGCGAAGATGTTATGGGAGCTTATGATATCGTAAAAAAGGCTTGCGTTGAAACGCCTTGTAAGGTAATAAAAATTTATAAAAATAAAAAAATATTTATACAGGCTTATAGATAAATGTATAAACTTTAATATTGTCTAATATTATAATACCCTACAGCAACTCGGTATACTTTAAATTTGTAATTGAACGTTGACAATTGTTATAAGAGCTTGGAACGTGCATATGTTTACTATATTGTTTATTACTTTGTGACAAAGTTTGTTGGATTTGTATGATGTATGAGGCAAAATGGTTTAAAATTATTTAATATATAAATTGTTCTAACAATATAAGACTGTAGGGCAACTCGGTGTACTCTAAAATCGACGCCAAAATTGTAGTATAATTTTGATGACTTGGCTCTTCTTGTAACTTTTGAACGATTTGTTCAATATGTGTAAAATATTTGGCAAATTTGCACAAACTTAAACAGTCTTTAATATTGTCTAATATACTATAACCCTACAACAACTGGGTGTACTTTAAAATCGATGCTGAATGTTGCAATACGATTGGGATGTCATTACGCACTTTTAGTCCAATATACATCGAGTTTTGGTTATTTTAATCGATTTTTACATCCCTCAGCGTTTGAGTAAACTAATGCAAGCATTATGTAATTATTTAGTTAAAGATTTACTTGATTTTTATTAATTTTTATTAATTTTTCGCAGAGATCGCACATTTCTGGTCTCGTCGGAATGGAATTGTATCTCAAGCACGATCATATGCAGTATACAGGAAGGTTTGTATGAAAGTTTTGTGTTTTGGGTTAGATTTTTGTTGATGGCACGAATTATTGTTCGAAACGTTGTAAAGTGTGGTATGAGGATTGAAAGTACGTTAAATTCTGCATATTTTAGCATAATAATATATGTATATGTTGGTGAAAAAATATTGAGGAAAATGGGTCTAAAAGTTGAAGTACGTTTTATAGTTATAGCATTTAACTTTTGTAGTCTGAGTACTTTTTTTATATATTATATAAAAGTCTATTAAATTGCGCAAATCTTGACATATTTTAATATATTTATATTCATATAAAAGTTTTCTAGAAAATGTGTCTAAAAGTTGATGTACGTTTTAAGATGCATTTAACTTTTCTCATTCCAAGTATTTTTTGGTTTTTAACCAATAGCTAAAAATTTTGTTAGAAAAGTTATATAATGTTATATTTATATATAATGAAAGTGTATTAAATTATGCAAATTTTGACGCATTTTAAAATGATTATGCTTATTTAAAAGTTTTGTGAAAAATGCGCCTGAATGTTGATGTATGTTGTATGGTACATTTAACTTATTTCTTCCCAAGAATTTTTTGGGTTTTTGACCAATATCTTGAAATTTTGTTAGAAAAGTTATACAATATTATATATTATCTCAAAATCTATTAAATTTCGCATATTTTGACATATTTTATTATATTAATGTTCATATAAAAGTTATGTGAAAAATACGACTGAAAGTTAACGTACACTTTTGGTTATACTCAACTTTTGTGTTGTGCTTTACAATTTTGTTGATGGCACAAATTATTGTTCTAAACGTTATTTAGTGTGGTATGAGATTTGAAAGTACGTTAAATTGTGCACATTTTAGTGTAATTATATGTGTATGTGTTGGTGTAAAAATAAAGTGTAAAATGCATCTGAAAGTTGATGTGTTACGATGGATTGAATTTCTTTTAGTATAGATTTTTTTTTAGTTTTTGATTAATAGTTTAAAACTTTGCTAGAGAAGATATACAAATTATATATTATATTAACAATATATTATATTGTGTAAATTTTGTCATATTTTAATATATTTATGTTCATATAAAAGTTATGTGAAAAATGCGCCTGAAAGTTAACATAGGCTTTTAGTTATACTCAACTTTTGTGTTGTGCTTTACAATTTTGTTGATGGCACAAATTATTGTTCGAAACGTTATATAGTGTGGTATGAGGTCTAAAAAAGCACTAAATTATGCAAATTTTGGTATATTTTGACATGTATATGTTAGTATAAAAATGTAATATAAAATGCGCCTGAGAGTTGATGTCCGTTTTTAGAAGAATTTAACTTCTTGCAGTCCAAGTTTTTTTTTGGTTTTTGACTAATAGTTTAAAATTTTGTTAGAGAAGTTATATATTGTTATATAATATATGAAAGTGTATTAAATTACGCAAATTTTGGCATATATTATTATAAAAATTTAGTAAAAAATGCGCCTGAAAGTAGATGTACGTTTTAAGATGCATTTCACTTTTGCAGCCTAAGTTTTTATTTTGGTTTTTAGCCTTTAGTTTGATATTTTGTTAAAAAAAAATTATATAATATTATAGATTATATAAAAGTCTATTAAGTTACGCAAAGTTTGACATCATTTGATATGTACATGTTAATATAAAATTTTTGTGAAAAACGCACCTAATACTTGATGCACCTTTTATGATGCATTCACTTTGCTTAGGCCAGTTTTTAATTCAGTTTTTGACCAATTGTTACAAATTTTGTTAGAAACATTGTATAAATTTTAATTCAACTTGAAAGTGTATTAAATTGTGCAAATTTAAGCATAATTTAATATATCTATACCGATATAAAAGTTTTGTAGAAAATGCGCCTAAAGTGCAAGTATGTTTTACGGTGCATTCAAGGCGAAAGAGTTCATTAGTTAGTTTTTTACTAATAGTTACAAATTTTGATAGAAACATTATATACTTTTATATACGACTCGAAAGTATATTCAATTACGCAAATTTTGCTATATTTAAAAAAATTCACGTACTTATAAAAGTTTTTTAGAAAATGAGCCCGAAAGTTAAGGTACGTTTTTGGCAACTCCAATTTTACTTTCTTACATTCCACGCATTTATTGATACTTTTGCAATCGTTTATCAATTTTTTTTATATGACAACTTTATTTCCCAGTTTCAAAGAAAGAGGAGCAAGTTACGCAATTTCTCAGCTGACAGATTGCCAGAAAAAAATTGGAATCGTGGCTGCATCTGCTGGAAATCATGCCCAAGCCGTCAGCTATCATGGCCTAAAGGTGGAAATGCCTGTGGCAGTTGTTATGCCAACAATTGCACCGGTTATGAAGATACAGAAGTGCAAAAATTTAAAGGTAATAAAAGACTTAGTACATCAATCAAATATAAAAGTTATCTAAATAAACTAAATTTAACAAAATCATTTCTAAGGCTGAAGTTTTCGTCCAAGGAAAAGACATGGGTGAAGCTAAAAGAATTGCCCAAGAAATGTCGATGGAAAAAGGTTACGCCTACGTCAATGGGTAAATAATAAATAAAATAGTTACAAAAAATGCAATAATTAAATGTACTTTGATTTTTTTTTTTTTTTTAGTTTCGATCACCCCCATATCATTGCTGGCCAAGGATCCATTGCCATAGAAATTATGGAGCAGATGAAGGAAGTGGATGCAATTGTTGTTCCAGTTGGGGGTGGAAGTATTATTGCAGGAGTTTGTGCTTATATGAGCAAAGCTAATCCCAAGTGCAAAATTATAGTAAGTAAAAAAATATTAGATGAAAGTCTTTGTATCTGACCCATAGAAAAACACAGTTTCTATGCTGTTGGGTATTGTGATGTAACAAGATAATTGCCTGAAGGTTTATGTATCAATTTTTTCCAGGGTGTGGAGTCAGAAAAGTGCCCAGGAATGACAGAGGCCATAAAAATGGGAAAACCGAGTCCCGTGGAGTCTTTTCCCAGTTTGGCAGATGGCCTGGCTGTTCCTGTTGTCGGGTAATAATATGATGAAAACTTCATATGAAAAAAATCATCGATCTTATTTTATTGCTACGTTATGCTAAAATTTGTAAAATTTAATATTTTTTCAGATCGTATATAAATTAACACAACATTTAGCAAATCGTATATAAATTATTACAAACACAACTTGTTTAGCAAAATTTTATAAAGAAAGTCTTGGGCCAATATGTATCAATGTCATAGAAATTTATATGGGTCGATTATGGGTCTATCGAATTCTGATCAAATTTTAGCAACAGAAGTCTTGAACAAAATATGAGGAAATTTTTTAATAAAGATCAAGATTTCATAAAGAAAAATGGATCAATTCATAGAAATTTGGCACTAATATGATGCATTCACTCTATAAAAACCAAAAAAATTCTGGATACTAATATATTGAATTCTAAATCAGTGCCTTGGTGTTGGTCTCAATACAATTTTAGAAAAAAAAAGTATTGGTCAAGAGACTATTATGGATCCCCTTTATGGTTTCTGATAAAAATTCCGAGAACTATCTGAATTTTGTGTTCATAAATATTTTTTTTTGGTAATTTTCCTATTCTAGTTACAATTCCTTTGCCATTGCCTCGCTCCATATCTATAAAATCATCTAAACTATCTGAGATATTTTTAGACTTTCTAATACATTTTTAGACTCCTTAAAATAATTTTAGACTAACCAAAACATTTTTAGACTATCTAGAAAACATTGTCAGACAATCTAAAACATTTTCAGACTCTCCAAAACATTTTTATACTCCTTAAAATAATTTTAGACATTCCATGAACATTTTTAAATCATCTAGAAAACATTGTCAAACCATTTAAAATATTTTTAGGCTTTCCAAAATATTTTTAGACACTCTATAATAATTTTAGACGTTTCATAACATTTTTAAATCATCTAGGGAGCATTGTCAAACCTTCTAAAACATTTTCAGACTCTCCAAAACATTTTTAGACACCCTAAAATAATTATAAACGATCCAGAACATTTTTAAAACATCTAGAGAACATTGTCAAACCACATAAAACATTTTGAGGCGCTGCAAAACATTTTTAGACACCCTAAAATAATTTTAGACGATCCAGAACATTTTTAGACTATCTCGAAAGCATTTTCAAACCTTCTAAAACATTTTCAGACACTTCAAAACATTTTTAGACTTCTTAAAATAATTTTAGACGATCCAGAACATTTTTAGATCATCTAGAAAACTTTGCCTAAGCATTTAAAATATTTTGAAGCTCTCCAAAACATTTTTAAACTCCTTAAAATAATTTCAGACGATCCAGAACATTTTTAGATCATCATTTAAAACATTGTCAAAGCGTTTAAGACAGTTTTAGACACTCCAACACATTTTTAGATACCCTAAAATAATTTCAGACGATCCAGGACATTTTTAAATCATCTAGAGAACATTGTCAAACCATTTAAAACATTTTTAAACCCTCCAAAACATTTTTGGACTCCTTAAAAAAATTTAAGGCGTTATAGAACATTTTTAAAACTTCTAGAGAATATTATCGAACCACCTAAAATTTTTGCAGACTCTCCAAGACATTTTCTGACTCCCTAAAATAATTTCAGACGTTCCAGAACATTTTTAGATCATCTAGAGAACATTGTCAAATCATCTACAAAAATTTCAGACTATCCAAAACATCTTCAGGCTCCCTAAAATAAATCCAGAAGAGGGAATTTTCACTTCAATATACTGTCAAACTTCGTTTAAATGACCATTGTATTGCTAGATAGACACTTAAGAGATTTTTTTTTTCCAAAATCTTCAAAACATTTTCTGACTCCCTAAAATAATTTCAGGATAACCAGAACATTTATAGAGTTCCTATAATAATTTCAGACGTTCCAAAACATTTTTCAGATCAGCTAGAATGCATTGTCAAATTATGTTTTGCATTTTTTGACTCGTCAGAACATTTTCTCTAAAATAATTTTTGACCATTTACGAGAATGGCCATTATATTTCTAGATGTCTAGGCAATTTATTAGAAACAAAGTCTTTTTTGTGATCAAAAAATTGAAATTTTGGTTCTATTTTTTTCTAGTTACAATTCTTTTGCGACTGCATCCCCCCACATTTACAAAATGATAGTCGTAAAAGAGGAATACATTTCCCTGGCCATGATGAGGCTCGTGGAACTCGAAAAGACGGTCGTGGAGGGTGCTGGAGCCTCGGCTTTGGCGGCCATTCTGACAGGAGAATTGGACGAGTTCAGATGCAAAAAGTAAAAAATAAAAAATTCACTTGGAAATATTTAGGTGTTTTTTTTAAGGATTTTTTAGGATTTTTTAATGATTTTTAGGGTTTGCTGCGTCTTGACAGGCGGCAACGTGGACACCACATTTTTGGGCAGAGCTTTGGAGAGAGGTTTGGCCTCCGATGGACGATTATTAAAGTGAGTAGAAAATATATATATTTATTATTTTGTACGTTTCGACGCTTAATGTGTGTCATCCGCGTTTTACACTCCTAGATTCTTAAATTCTTTGTAAACAAACTCTTGTATAACCTTCATCATTTATTTATTTATTTATTTATTTATTTATTTATTTTACAAGCCGTCGGTATAATAATATTTTAATAAAGCTCAAGTCAATATTTTATAGGTTTAATATAAATTAATTAATTATTAGCTATTCTATTACTTATTTATTTATTATTTAATTTATTTACTATAAATTTATTCATATTTAGTTATTTTATTTAAATTTTTTTATTTATTATTTAATTTATTAACTATAAACTTATGTATATATACTTATCTTTGTTGCAAGTATTTTTTAAAAATTTAATAAGTACTTTAATAAGCTTTACAATACTTTTACAATATAATTATTTTATTTAACAAAATTTTAGGTTATTACGTATTTAGGTTATTTAGGTATATAATGTACGTTTCGACGCTGAATGTATGCCATCATCTATTTGTAAATTTAATTCTGATAAATTAGAAAAAAAACTAGTGGTGTACGCCATCGTGTCTGAAAGCAAATTGCTGGAACTTCCCGTACCGTGATGAAATATTCGAGAAATTAAACGTTTTCATATATATCATTACAAATACTGTAACTTTCATTATTTTTGTTATCTTGGTATATCTGAGTGAGCAAATCAAATGTACATCATGAATCAATTTATCTCCAGAACATTAACTATCGCCATTTTATTTCGAATTCAATTTCAAAAAAACATAGTTGCCTGTTTTGCACAAAATTGGAAAAGTGCTCCCGTATAGTCACAGTCTAAACGCATTTGCAAATAATTCTGTGCGACATTTTCACTTATAATGTGCTTAGTTTGGCGGCATTTTCACATTTTTCAATAGTTTTCACAAAATTGGAAAAGTGCTCCTGTACACAAACAGTCTAAACGCACTTGGGTAAACATTTGTACCAGAGTGGCGCTTAGACTGTGCCTAGCCTGGGTAATTTCTTGAATTTTTAATCCCAATTACAAAAATATTTTATGGAAAATAAAAAAAGATGTAATTATTTTTTATTCTCAGAAGCAATTGTTTGGTCAATACAAGCAGAAAGTTTTTTAGATCATTCAAATCGCACGCTTAGTTCACTCAAAAACTGTCATTTTTTGCATATTTAGCTCTGTATCTTCTAAATGCCTAGGCCTGCCTTTGGCAATAACTAATCACCTCTTCCCCCAATCATTACAAATTGAATGTTTTTTAGATCATTCAAATCGGATTCCTATCAATAGGGATCGAATGTTTTTTAAACCATTCAAATCGGTTGATCCGTGGGCCCGAAAACCCGGACGAAAAAATGCGGACATACAAAACACACATACGCACACACACGTCCATATTTTCTTAAGTGTGCCAAAATGTTCATAAACCTTAAAAACGTCGAGAAATGCAAAAATTTTCATTTTCGATTTTCGGCCCATTACTATAACTACCCAACGGAAAGTTAATTACTCTACAGTACACATTTCGACACTGAATTTCTGTGTACGTTTCGACTCAGGGCATGTGCCATCAAATCAACAGTTCGACAGATGTCTAATCATAATGATATTTATTTCGACTTTTCGACGTTTTGACCCAAAATATGTGTCATCTTTTTTTTAATTTTAGGTTCAAGGTTACGATAGCCGACAAACCCGGTGCCCTAGCCGATTTGTGTGCAAAAGTGTCCGCCACTGGCGTCTCCATGAAGAAAATTCTTCAGGAGAAAACCTGGGTCAACGCCGATATGTTCCAAGTCCAAGTAATAATAAAATAATTTTTAACAGAACCATAATTATATAATCGATTTATATATATATATATATATATATATATATATATATATATATAATATTATTATTATTATTATTATTATTATTTCAGATAAAAATGATTGTGGAAACTCTTGGCGTCGACCACTCTAAAGAACTGCGCGATGTTTTGGTAAAATTTGTTATACATATATATATATATATATATATATATATATATATATATATATATGGGCGCTAATGGGCCATTTATGATTAAATATTATAATTATTAGAAGTGAAACCGCAATTATCTGATGTTGCCTCGTTGGTGATGTCAGTTTATTGAAAACTCAATTTATAATTAAACTCGATTTATAATTATAGAAATTTCGATATCATTTTTAGTCCCGGCAAAATGCTCGATGATAAAAACCGAATCAACTAGTTGGTTTGGTATTTAGCCTTGAGGCAAGTTACATGAACTTCCCGATATATTTAAATAATCGACTTAATCAATAAAAAATAAATTAATTTATGAGTAATTAAAAGTATTCCGAGTGGATTTATTACACATAATTGAAAACGAACGAACTCGGAGTATTTTCTAAAAGCAAATTTTCAAAAATCAATAATTTTTATAATTGAACCAGTTTTCAGGACTTTAATGATTTATTATGTTCAAGACCAAGTACTCTATCATTATACCAAGTAAATAGTCTAATTTTAATTTTAACAAATGTCAAAAGAGCTACTCATTTTCTCAAACTTTGATGAATTTTTGAATACAAACTATTTGTCTTAAGGCCGTAATATTTCAGTAAGTTCTAGAAGACCATGGTATATATCGCTAAAAAAAAAATCCATAAAAATCGGCTTAATTTTTTTTTCAACGGTTAATTACAAGAAAACGGCTCGGTAGATTTTCACCTAAAACTGATCAGTATCATTCCCAACTAATATCTTTCGAACAGTTTTTGATTTTTTAAAATCGGTTCGGTAGGATGAGCTTAAATGTGGACGAAAAGTTTAACACTTTTTTTCAAATTACAAAGAAACGGCTTGGCTGATCGTCGCACAAAACTGACAAACGATAGTCTTCCCCGAAATACATCAAATGGCTTTTAAATTTCTGAAATCGGTTCAGGCGCTTTTGAGAAAACGTCGATCAAAAGTCTAATTTTGACAAATGTCAAAAAAACTATACCAATTTTTGCAAACTTTGACGAATTTTTAAAGCTAAACGAGTTGTCGTAGGGCCGTAATATTTTAGTATGACCTAGAAAACTATGGTATCTACCGTCAAAAAAAATCATAAAAATCGTCAATTTTTTTTTTTTTTTAAACGTTATTACAAGAAAACGGCCCGGCCGATCTTTACCAAAAACTAATCAGCACGATTCCCAACCAATATCTATCGAATGGTTTTTGAATTTTCAAAATCGATTCAGAATTGCGGGCTAAAACGTGGGCAAAAAATTTTTCACTTTTCTGCAATTTACAAAGAAACGGCCCGGCCGATCGCCGCACAAAACTCAGAGACGATAGTCCTCATCGAGATACATCAAATGGCTTTTAAATTTTTGAAATCGCTCCAGCCGTTTTTGAGAAAACGTCGATTTACGGCAAAAAATCTGTTCACACACATACACACACACACACACACACACACATACTTTTTCCAAATTTGGTCTCATTCGATTCAGAATGGCTTGAAACGTCGAGAAAACATAAAATTAGCCATTCGGATTTTTTGATGAAAACATAAACTTCTCCTTCGGGAAGTTAAATATTACGATAGTCATAAAACAATAATCTCCTATAGCTTGCTTGATGTGAAGTTTGCATCAGAGAAGCTCCAAGGATGCTGTGAAGTTTTGTCATCAAATTGGCGTAATTCAACTGACATCTGTCATGTGGCCGTGTTCATTTCGCCATATATATACATATATACATATATATATATATATATATATATATATATATATATCTACATCTATTTTTACCTCAGGTGAAGGACTACAAGAACGTCTTCTTCAACGACAGTCCAGTGGCGGTGACCAGCGAGATGAGCCTGCCAGGTCTGGCCATTGGCCAGGCCTCGAAGAAACCCTTTGACTGCAACGACCCGAACAATAACCAGGGCCAGGGCCAAGGCGGAGGCAGCGCCAACGAGAGAGAGACGGTCCTGGGGCACATTAGCAACGTCTGCGACTGTTCTAACAAATAATAGAAAGATAATGGAGTGTTAGTGTAAATTGTAAATTTGAGGATAATGTAAGTGTTGGATAATATATTTATGTTAAATATTTGTTAGAGTTTGTTAAGTGTTAAGTAAATTGTATGTGTAAAATACTGCCCTATTTTCACCCTCCTATTTTTTGTATTAGTCATTTAAATAATTTCATCGTTTTTCAATCGGTTTAGTAACTGAAAAACTACGATCTTGGTAAATGCTTTTCAATTTATTTCTGTTTTGTTATTTTTTCCTAAACGTTTGCTAGATAAATGATGGCACACATTTATCGCCGAAACGTACAAAATAAATATTGTTGAAGAACATTTGACTATAATGCTGAAAATATATCCTAGAATATGCACTTGTTTAGTGTAAAAACGTAATGAACCAAAGCCATTGAAAAATGTGAAAATGCCGCCAAGCTAAGCACAGTATAAGTGAAAATGTTGCACAGAATTATTTGCAAGTGCAGTTTAGACTGTGACTATGCGGGGGCACTTCTTCAATTTTATGTTAGTTAAATTAGGAAACTATTTTTTTGAAATTGAATTCGAAATGAACTGACGATTGTTGTTAATGTACTGGAGGTAAATTGTTTTATGATTTACATTTGATTTGCTCAGATTTTACAAACAAGATAGCGAAAATACTGAAAGTTTCAGTATTTGTAATGATATATTTGAAAACGTTTAAAATTTCTCGAATATTTCATTACGGTACGGGAAGTTCCAGCAATTTGCCTTAAGGCACGATGCCATGCACCACTAGTTTATGCTATTTTTATGGAAATGATTTACATTAGTCCAAGACTTTTTTTTATAAAATTTTGTCACGATTCGATAAACTCCGGGAAGAATGATAGCACATTTAGGCTAGCGCCGAAACGTATAAAATAAATATCGTTGAAAAACATGCGAGTAAAATGCTGAATATTTATCCTAAACAATGCACTTTTTTAGTCTTTTCTTACTAAAGTCTTTTAGTCTTTTTCTTTGTAAAGGCTTTTCAGTTACTATTCCAGCTATTATTTTTCATGCTATTTTTATATAAATAAATTACATTAGTCCAAAGCTTTTTTTTTAAATTCTGTCCACAATGAGTGATGGCACACATTAAGCGCCGAAACGTACAAAACAAATATTTCGACGATATTCTGATATATATCTTAGAAAATGCACTTTTTTAGTGTGGAAACGCAAGTACTGGCCCAATTTTTATGAAATATCTTGAATGATGGCACGCATAAGTCGTCGAAACGTACATTTTATGGCACAGCTAGATTCTTTCTTCAAATATCCCTTTTTTGATCAATTTTCCTTAATTTATTTTCTTATAATGGCGAATTCAAAAATACGTGCAACCCTAAATTTTTATCCTCCAATCAAGTTGTATATTTCTATTTTGTAGTATTTTTTTTATCCAGCTATCTTTTTCATTATTGTCTTGTTTGTGAATGTTTCTCGGTTTATTTAGAAATTTGGGCATGTAATTTTCTTGATCTTACAGAAAAGCTAGTTTTTTCTACAAAATAAATATATTTTTGATAAAATATCAAGACAGTTTATTCCTGTAATATCAATGTTAGATTTTTAATTTGAGATTCTGGGTATATACTAATTTTTCAGACTAAAACAGAATATTTTCCACCAAACAGTAGGGATGAGATCAAAGCTCATTTTGCCTACCTATCAATGCAAAATCATTCATTAGAAAAATTATATTATTGCACAATTACTTTCTTCATTATTAAAATGCAGATATTGTTACAAGAAAGCTCGATGTCTTACAAATTTTGGTAAAAATTTATCAATATCTTGAATCCCCATTATACCAACTAACTAGGTTCATATCAAATTGGCATTTGCCATTACTATTAGCAAATCCTTTAAGAAAAATTCCTTTTTTGCATACATACAAAAAATAGGGCTCATGAAAAGAGAAAACAAAGGATCCATCTAGCAAACAACCCTATAAAATAAATTAGACAATGCCCTATTAATAAAATATAATTCAACATTAAAAGAATAAGAAGTATTCTATTAACTAAAAATAAAATTGTGACTCTCCAAATGAGCAAACTGGATCTCGACATATAAAAATAAATAAATTAATATTAAAACTGGGGTGGATCCAAGACTTTCACTGTAACTGAAAGCAGAGACTTGAAGCAGAAATTTCAATGCAACATTATGAATAAATATTCTGCAAATATAATTTATAAAATCACAATTTTATTGCCTATAAAGTTCAATACACCATTTTATTGTTCCTAATTAATTGTAATTCCTAATGCAATATTAAAACCAACAACAAGAAAATTACATAATGTACAAACGACTTATATTATATTACATAATAACACGACCACATAAAAATTTGTTCTGAATAAATAAACTTCATAAAACATAAAACTAAGATGTATTCCCAAGTATCTTATATTAATTTACTACTTGCTTAACGTAAGATAATAATGATAAATATTTTTATATATACTATTCTATCAAAATTTCTATTTCTTTGCAATTCATTACTTCATTCTTATTTTTATCTTTAACAATTTAAATTCCATGTCAGCGCCGGGACTCGACCCGACGATCGAGCTAAGAAAATACTAGGCGTAAATTATTTTTATAAAATTATGCTCAATAAATTGTTTAATTTTTTAAAAAATCAAAAGTGCTCGCCATGTCGTCCGTACCTAACACAACGTTTTTCCATACATTTTCACTTAGGCTTGGATACGCATGGTAAGCGTTACTCCGATATTTTTTTATAATAAAATTATCATCTTACATTAAGCAAATAGTAACATATTATGCTGCTGCCAATTATTTTATACTAAAATTTTTTTTTTTTGGAATGTGATATGGAATGTAAGGAAATATTAAAAGGAATTTTAAAATTCAAGATTCGTCCTCTTCATATAATTATTATATATAAATTTAAATCAAATCAGTCACAAACAACAATCACAATCATAATAGATAGATATTTGAAATTTTGTAACAAACTAGTGTTACGTAATCACAAATCGATAAATAAACTAAAATAATAATGGAAAATAATTTTATCATGACTTGGATAGAAAATTATTAGATTTAACCCATATTAGACCTTATAAAAATTAAGATAAAAACAGTATGAGGGCAAACTTACATAAGATTTAAAATGTTGATTTGAAATTGAACCAGCAACCAATGTAAGATATATATATATAAAAGAAATGAAGAAATTATTCAATTTACAACAAATTTGTCGAACAAAGTATTAGGTTTGAATAAATAGTTCAAAAGTTATCCAAGATGTAACGAATAAATGCACTATTATTGTCGGTTTTCATACTCGGACCAGTTCTAAAGCAATTTATGTGCATACCGCGTTATTCTAGGGTCTCATGTTGTAAGAAAATGTTTTACATTACTCAATTTACTACAAATTTTCCAAACAGAATATTTCGTTTGGATAAATAGTTTAAAAATTATCCAGGATATAACAAATAAATGCACTATATTGTCAGTTTTCATACTCGGACGAGTTTCTAATGTCATTTACGACTTTACCGAGTCGTTCTAGAGCTTTTTGTTGTAAGAAAATATTTTACATTATTCAATTTACTATAAATTTACCGAATAAAATATTCAATTCGGATAAATAGTTTAAAAGTTATCCAAAATGTAATGAATCAATGCACTATATTGTTAGTTTTCATACTCGGACGAGTTTCTAAAACAATTTACGAGTACACCGAGTTGTTCTAGAGTTTTATGTTGTAAAAAAATGTTTTAAATTACTCAATTTACTACAAATTTACCAACATACCAAACATTCGTTTTGGATAAATAGTTTAAAAGTTATTCAAGATGTAACGAATAAATGCACTCTAGATAAATAAATCGTCAGTTTTCATACTCGGACGAGTATCTAACTCAATTTATGAGTATACCGAGTTATTCTATGGCCTTATGTTGTAAGAAAATGTTTTACATTACACAATTTACTACAAATTTACCGAACTAACCATTAGGTTTGCATAAATAGTTTAAAAGCTTTCCAGGATGTAACGAATAAATGCACTATATTTAAATAAACCGTCAGTTTTGCATACTCGGACGAGTTTCTAACGCCATTTTTGAGTAAATTAAGCAACATTGTTGATAATTTAATTTTGTACAAATTTGCCGAATATACTTTTAAGTTTACGCAAAAAGTTTAAAAGTAATTCAAGATCAAACGTGTGAATGTACCCCAGCTAAATTCACATCATTAAGAAACTATGATTTTTCATTGGTTTTTCTTTTTTTGTTCAATTATGAGTATACCGAGTTGTTGTAGAACTTAAGAATGTCCGACAATATTTTAAATTGTTCAGTTTTGCACAAATTTGCAAAATAATTCATGTAAATTAGACAAACCGTTCAAAAGTTACAAGCGATATAAATAAATGCAGAGCAGTATAAATAGTGCAGGGGCTAATATGGGTTAAATTTAAAAGAAAAATGTAAATTGTAAAATTATATATATATATATATATATATATATATATATATATATATATAAATGTATGTCTTATTGCTTTCCTGAGATTTTCAAAGAAACCATCCACTTCTTTTACAATTCGCCCATTTGTCCACCCTTTTTGATGACTTTCAATTTTTCCTGCTGCGGCGGCTGAGTGTCCTTAACTTCCTCCACAATTGGTGCAGGTTCCTTAATTTTTTGTCCTGGTTTTGGTTTTGGTGCCTCTTTTTGTTTGGGGACCTCCTTAGGCTTGGTTTCTTTTGGTGCTGGTTTAGGAGTAGTCGTTGTCGGTTTGGTGGTTTCTGGTGCCTTTGTCGGCTTTGGAGGTTCTGGTTTAGGTTTGGCAGGTTCTTTGGGCTTCTGGGCGTCCTTTGGAGGTTCTTTAGGGAAGTCCTTGGTGGGCTTTGGTGCTTCAGTTGGTTTGGGTGTAGGCTTTGGTGCTTCTTTAGGCTTTGGCACTTCTTGTTGTTTAGGAACTTCCTTCTGCTTTGGCACTTCTTTCACGACCTCCTTTTGTTTAGGCACCTCTTTTTGTTTCGGTACTTCCTTTACCTTAGGCACCTCCTTTACCTTAGGTACTTCCTTTACCTTAGGAGTCTCCTTTACCTTTTCCCCAGCAACGTCCAACCCTTCGCCCTCATAAGTAACCTTAGATACCCTGATCTTGGACGATTTGGGCATAGGTACACGTGCCAAATAGTTATTAAATGGTGACCCCAAATAAAGATATCCATCGGAATGAGGTAAGGCATGCGAGATGCCTTTGACGTCTCCTGTCATCGAATGCATCGATCCCAAAATTTTGCCGTTGTAATCGACGTGCAAAATCGTCAAACGTTTTGGGGAAATTACTGACGTCAACATTTCAAAGTTACCCCACTGTAAAAGATATACAAGATATACAAAACACTTCTATTTTCTTAAAACTTAACTACTAACAACGACCAAAAAAAATTTTGCGACAAAAAATTGACGTGACCATTAAGGTCGTGGTAGCGACGTCGTCCGATTTAAAACAATAAGTGGTTACACATTTTGTACCCTCTACTTTAAAATAGTATCACCAAAAAGTTCCAATGGTGAAGTTGTACTAGTACAGTAGAACTCCAATTATCCGAATTAACCCTCCGTCGGTCGGATATTTTTTCACCTTCGAACGGTCGGAAAGGTCTGGCTGGACCACCATTCACTTTACATGCATTTATATGGGATAAATGAGTTTTTGGTGTCGTATATATTAACGATTATTAGTAGTAAATATTTATAGTTTTGATTTTTTCTATTTCTTACCGTCTTTTGCATGTGTTGAGCTTGCTTATAATAAAAATATATATATATATATTATATTATATAAAAAAATCAAAAAATATAAAAAAATCGTTGCTTTTTTATTATTTTTATTTGTCTGTTTTATATCAATGAAAAACAATATTTATTCTTTTTCGGCTCCTTCGAAATGAATGTGAAATTCAAATGAAAACGAAATGAGGTGCGTCGCCTTTGAAATAAGCTGTAAAATTCAAGTTGAAAATATAATTTCACTACAGGTTTGCCAAAAAAATTTCGAATGTAGTACTACGGGTAGAAAAATTGGGGATAATGTGCGCATTACTCGTCCGATTTTCAGTGTTTGTGATTACCAATAAGTTTGATAGGATTTCAAGGAATTCTCGTCATGAAAATACTAACATTCATGTTACAACACATAGCAAAGAATATATACAACGCAGTTTGAATAGAAAATACCATGAAAAAAGACAAAATACTGGTTTACATATATCAAAAAGCGTATATTTCATACAAAATGTATAGGTGGTCTAGACAGACCTTTCCGACCGTTCGAAGTATAAAAAAGTTAATATCCTTATAATTATCCTTCTGTACATTTTTTGGTCCTGATTTTTTCATTGATCGACAGCTAATGAAATTTTAGGAAAAGTCAAGAAATTTCAAGTCGATAGGATTACTAGAAGTATTTTATTTTTTTAATTGAAGTCGAAAAAAGTCTGGCCAGACCACGCCGACCGACGGAGGGTTAATGGTGACCGGGACCCATTCGGATAATCAAATATTCGGATAATCGGAGTTTGTTTTTAAAATTGCCATTGGAGAGAAAAAAAGTTACGTTTTGATATTGCACTATTTTATGCAATAAATATATGAATAAAATGTACTTATGTACAAGTTTAGAAATAAAGATCATTGTTTTGTAAACATCTCCGTCAAATCAAAACAAACAATATGTGCCTACACTGGCTTTGCTGGTGGAAGAATAATAGCGCACTTATTGTTAGACTTTTTTTGGACAATTTTTTTTCTGAAAGTGATTCGGATAATCGGCGATTCGGATAGTCAGAGTTCGGATGATTGGAGTTCGGATAATTGGAGTTCGGATGATTGGAGTTCTACTGTATATGTATATTTCTTCTATCTACTTACATAATATTTGGCCTTCTGAAGATACTCGTTAGGGTAAATTTCGTTAGCCTTCTCCAGTATCAAGTCAACAGAATGCAATAACCGTACAAGAACTTTACGTAACAATGGAAAAGGTGCCATCGAATGGAAAATAGCAGGATGGTCGTCATCGCACGATTGCACCAATGGCACTAGAATGCCTTCGTTGTCTTTCAAGGGCGTCAGGTTGTCGGGCAAACCTGGAAATAAATGATAAAAATATTTTGCAATGTTTTTGGTAAAGAAAAACTGCTGATGCAGTCTAAAACTGTTGCAGGTTGACTAAAAATGTTGCAGGTTGTCTAAAAACTGTTGCAGATTGTCTGAAAACTGTTGCAGATCATCTAAAAACTGTTGCAGATCATCTAAAAACTGTTGCAGATTGTCTAAAAACTGTTGCAGATTGTCTAAAAACTGTTGCAGATTGTCTAAAAACTGTTGCAGATCATCTAAAACTGATGTAGATCGTCTAAAAAAATGATCGCAGATCGTCCAAGACAGTTGCAAATCCTCCAAAACAGTTCCTGATCGTCCGAGACAGTTCCTGATCCTCCAAAACAGTTCCAGATCGTCCAAGTTCCTACTCAAGCAAAACAGTTACATATTATTTAAAACAGCCTCAGGTTACCTAAAATTGTTGCAAATTGCCCAAAAACGTTGCATGGCGTCCAAATCAGTTCCTGGTCCTACAAAACCGTTCCAGATTATCGAAAAATGTTCTAAATCGTCCAAGAATATTTTAAATCGTCTAAGATTGTTTCAAATGGTCCAAAAATGTTGTGAATCGTTAAAAAAATATTCTAAATTGTCCCAGGATGCTCCAGATTGACGAGGGTTGCTCCACATTGTCCAGGAATGCTTCAGATTAACCAGGGATGCTCCAAATCGTCCAGGGATACTCTGAATTGTCCGATGATGCTACAGATTGTCTAGAGATGCTCCAGGTCGTTCTGGAATGCTGCAAACTGTCCTGGGATGCTCCAAATTATCCAAGAACACTCCAGATCGTCCAAAAACACTCCAGATCGTCCAAAAACACTCCAGATCGTCCAAAAACACTCCAGATCGTCCAAAAACACTCCAGATCGTCCAAAAACACTCCAGATCGTCCAAAAACACTCCAGATCGTCCAAAAACACTCCAGATCGTCCCAGAGTGCTCCAAATTGTACCAGAGTGCTCCAGATTATTCAAGAATGGTACAAATCGACCAAGAATGGTATAAATCGTCCAAGAGTGCTACAAATTATTTAAAAACGCTCCAAATTATCCAGGAACACTCCAGATCATCCAAGGATGATGCAAATTATCTAGAGACGCTTCAAATCGTCCAGGATAGCTCAAAAATCGTCCGAAAGTTCTCCAGATTATCCAGGGATGCACCAAATTATTCAGGGATGATTCAAAGAGTCCGGCGATGCTCCAAATCGTTCAAAAATGTTGTGGAGAGTCCAATAATGTTATGCGTCGTCCAAAAATGCTGTTAATGGTCTAAGAATATTCTGGATCGTCTAAGAATGCTCTACATAGCCCAAAAATGCTCCAAATCCTTCGAAAATGTTCTAAACTGTCCGAAAATACCCTAAAATGCCCTAAACTATCAAAACTGTCTAAAACATGTTTTCAAATTGTCTTAAAAGCACTTTCTGAATTGTTTCATCAAAAAATGTTGCAGACTGTCTCAACGTTGTATACAGTCCCAAATTGTTGTATATAATCTAAAAATATTGTGCAACTCTATGCAATATTTTTTTTATTTTACCTGGTAGTCCAGCCAAGAAGAGTTCGGTCCTGCCACTCTTCGGGCCCTTCAAATGATGTTTGATAAGCCTGGAAGCTGCAGTTTCAGAAATCACCAAAAAGTCTTCATCAGGACTCAAAACCAAACCGTTTGCAAACCAAATTCCATCCAAGAGCACCTTATTTTTCTTGGTCGCTTGCGAGTAATGGAATAATCTGGGGAAAAAAATTACATGTAATAATACACCTAAGTCTGTTTTTACACGGTCTTTTTGTACACGGTTTTGATATAACACGGTTTGAAAATTGAATATTTTTAATTTTTTTACACGATTTTATTCCATTTAACACGATTTGAAATTTTATGTACTTAAAGTTTTTTGTCAAATTAAATTTTTGCGAAGTATGTTCATATCACAAAAAAGTATTTATGAAAGAAAAAAGTCTGAAACCATCGATAGTATCGATAGTTTGCGAACACTAGCATAAAGATTTAAGTGAATTCCCCTTTAGCGCGTACAAACAATTTTTACTTTGATTTTTTTTATTATATTTGATTTAATAAAATAAACATGAATTCTTGTTCTTAAAAATTCTTGTTTTTCACTAATTTTAATAGGTTTTAGAGAGTAGGACAAATCACCCATTTTTGTATAAGATCAATGTCTTTTTTTACACGTTTTTTTTTTACACGGCTTCTTCTGGAACCAATCTACCGTGTAAAAACAGACTTAGGTGTATATAGTATAAAATTAAATCTTTTACCCTTACCTTCCTGATGGGTTCATCAAAACAGTATAAAGTCCATCTTCCAAGCTCACATCGCTGCTGGAATCAGTCCAATATATGTCACCATTTTTAGCAACGGCGACACTGTTGAAAATCCTTGGTTTACGTCCATTGATGACTTCATCCTTGGACACCAATTGAGTCTTTTTACCAAGTTCTACATCGACTTTCCAGATACCCAAATAGGCGTCTGATACAATCAGTTCTTGTCGTTTATGAACTGCATGCCTAATGGACGGCCGCAGATTTTGTCCTGGTATTCACCTTCTGGGGTAAAAGATGGATTAAATAAATTTGGTAAACCAAAATATTATTTTTATGTCTATTTACCGCATGGTTTTCCAATTTGTGCAACATGTACGACATTGCCGTCCACAAGTTTGGCAATTTGTCCGTGGAGAGTTGTGTATAGTTCGTTTTTGTGTACTAGTAAATGTTCGGGTCCTACTATTTTGTTTAAATATAATTTCTCGGCATTGTCTAGTAAGTTGTTTAATTCTAGGGGACCTTCTAGTTTTTGAATAGCTGGTACACTTAAAAAGGATAATATATATATATATATATATATATATACAAGTATATATATATATATATATATATATATATATATATTGTATATATATACAAAGTGTCCCAGAACTCAATTTGCCCAGAACTAAATGTGAGCGAAATGTGTGATTTTCAGGTTTTTATTTTTTTACTCAAAATTTTTTCATAAGACTATCAGGTATTTTAGCATTTTACAATCCTGTATAAATGCGCCAAATTTTGATGAAACTTGCCAACAGACTTCAATACGTTTTTTTTAAAGGAGTGCCTCTCAAAGTCAACGGATGTTGAAAATTTTAAATTCATAATTCAGCAGAAAGTCTTAAGGGGGTATTCTACTGTAGAAGCATGAATTTTGCCCGGTTTTTGAAGCGCTGTATAAAGGAAACAAATAATATTTTTACTATCGATTTTTTATCATTTGTTTATTGATATTTTATTATTACATAAAAAAATTATTAAAGAAAAAAAATTAAAATTCACAAAGTTATGAGCAGTCAAAGTGGAAGTTCCCAAAAAAGAGGGTGTCCTGGCGTACATGATTCCAACCCTCCTGGTGATTTGAAACATAAAAAATAGATGGATTCTTCATTATAATAGATGCCGCTATCGTATGAACCTTGAATAAGTTAAAAAAAAAATTTTTGTTTGAATGGCGGCAGTTTGAAAAAAAAATTCTTTTTTCATGTTTTTTTTAACAATTCCGAATTTTTTAAAAATACTAAATGAAAAGTTATAGTTTTGGGAAAGGTCCATAAAAGTCGCGATAAAGCGATGTATAGAGAAGATTCTCTCCAAATTTGAAGTAAATCATTAGAACTCGAGATATCTTTACCGCCAGCTCGAAAAAAGTAGTTCCGAGAAAAACGCGTTCAAAGTTTTGAGACTCGGTCGGACCCGAATCGAGGCCACGTCACTAAAACGGATATAACTCAGGAAATAATAGTAATGTTGAAAAATCCTTTTAATGACATATTTTTGAATAACTAAACTTTGAAAATATGAAAAAAAAATTTTTTCGATTTTTTCAGAATTCTACAGTAGAATACCTCCTTAATTCTTGAAAACTCGGGGCAATTGAGTCATTATTTTTGACTGTGGTCTTAGAAATTTTATTTGCGATTATGAATTCAAAGTTTAAAAAAACAAAAGTAATAAAAATCAACCTCAGTAACTGAAAAATGGTCACAATTTCACCAAAGCTCTAGCTCTTAAAACTCTTGAAAGCTCATAATTTCCAAACAATGTAAGATTTTTTATCTAATTGAGGTTGAGTTCTGGGACACCCTGGATATTAGCTGTTTATAATACCTGAATTCAGAGAATTCGGCTATCGGTGGAATTCCTGGTAAAAATGCTAAAAGTGCAAAAAAAATTGCACTGGACAGTGTAAAACAAAACAATCGTTTGCAGCAACCCATTATTGCAGATCTGAAACAACAAAATATAAAAATTATATGTTTTAGAGATTTTTTACGCTACTTTGCACTTTAAGGATTTCGGATTTGAATTTAACGCTTCTAGTGCTAAAGGCTTTTTTAAGTAAGTGATCTTTGTGCAATTCTATCTTTCGAGTTCAATCTAATTGTGCACAGTGATAAAATGTAAAATATATATTTGCAACTCTACATTAAGATATACACTATTCATCGATTAAAATAAAACCAAATGCACAAGGTGTGCAAATCAAAATTGAAATCGATTCAGTAGTTTAGGGGTCTATTTGGAACAAACATTGTGATACATACTTATATATTGCCGATACACAAATATGAGTATAAGTTTTGACTAGTAAGAAATGTAATAAATAATGAAATTGAGTATTTTTTATCCTAATAATTAATCTTATTAGCTGAAGATCAAAATTATGGGTTTACTCTATGATAATTACTTCATTCGTACATCTGCAAGTGCATTATTTAAATTGTATAGAAGAAATTTTCAGCTTTTGTCAACTGGGAAGCTAATTCCTGTATTACAACTAAAAATTTATATATGGTTTGAAATGTAATTTACACATTGACATTGAATCGAAGTAATTTGCACATTGAAAATAGGCAATTCAATATATATATATATATATATATATATATATATATATATATATATATATAATAGAGTCACTTTACGTTGACAAAATGATGTGGAAACCATTTTGGCCTTATATAAAAATGAGGCCAAGTTTTAAAGTTATAAAAATCTTATGAAGATAATAAATGTGTAATTTCGTCTTTACAGACTTTGATCACAGAAGAAAAATTGCTTTTTGTGAATATATAAGAGAATTTCCAATTAGAATCCATTCCTATGCAATCCTAGTGACAGACATAACCTAAAAAAAAATAATTATTGATCCTGCCCAAAATATTAACGTAAGCACCTGTAAACCATCAAAAACACCTTAAATACCTACAATTTTCACAATCTACCTGCAAAATACCAAAATATCCAACATACATCAATAATATCAATTACAACACCAAAAAATCCAACTTACATCAACAATCCTTTACCGACTCCTCACGAATCCCGAAACATATGTCGTCTACACTAAATTCTAAATAACAAAACAAATAAAATAAAAACTTGTATTAATCTTTTATTACTATCACAGCCCGTTCAAAGTGCATTTGATAATAATTAAAATGCACGAATTTCTTTTACGAATTGACAACTCGACAGAGACGGCGTTTTGCTGACATGACATGTCATGTGGACACAGGTGATAAAAGATGGCGTCGGAATTAATGACACGTCGGCGCTTTTTGTCGTTTTTTAAAATCCGCAGACGAAGTTGAGATAATTTTAACACTTGGGTAAATACGAGATTAAATTTGGAATTGGTTTGTTTAATTTTGAATTAAAAATAAACACTTGGATCGTAGATAAATAAGCATGACTTGGACGTCGTAGTTGTAGTAACGGCAAACGGCGTTAAGTGAAGTTGGCCTTTATATGCATATATATAAATTTTTTTTAGTTATTATTTTTGACACATATGTTTATATGTAAACAAATACAAAATATACTAAAATACATATTACATGTATATTTACAAAAATATATATAAACCATTTCATATAAAAACTTGTTTGCCCATGATACAAACCATGGTTGTAATATAGGATAAGAAGTTTTTGTTGCGGTATATAAAGATACCTCTTCTTGTTACAGCTAAATATATATTATATGTATATATATATAATATATATAAATATATATATATATATATATATATATATATACTAGCTGACCCGACATACGTTGCCCTGTACTCACGTCTATAATTCAAAAATTCAAATTTTTTAATATCTTATCCTATACTTTTTAATATCCTATTTGATGTCCTAGTTTTGTGATTCATAAGCATTATAAAAAATTAAAACAAAAATAATATAATATCTACGGTAAAAGAACAATATCACACTTGATTTTACAACACAACATAATTGCATCAATAATATAGTCATAGTCTATAGTTTTCATAATCTCGTACGATATTTCACTTGCTTTTAGCAATTTTAATTTCTAAAGTACATTTTTCAACTAAAAATTTAATAAACATTTCTGTTTATGCTCAAATCTCAGGTGAATTAATTTGTAAAATCTAGTTCTTCAATCTAAGATCAATTTGCTAATGATTCCATATCCAATGCTGAACAAATGAATTTTTGACACATTAAATAAAAATTATAAAACATTTTTTTAATAAATAGACATATTTTTTGTATTGTTAAATAATTTAGTAAAGTAAACCAATAAGCAATTTTGGACTTGTTGCGTTATTCATTTACCTGAATTTTATAATTTCATCTGCCAAACATTGACTGTAGACTGCATCTTATATTATTTTAATTTCTGGCACATCTCACCTGCTTTTCAGCAATAATAATGTAGACATAACATTTTTCTTGTATATTATATTCTAATATTATCTAGGCTCATAATGTCACCTAAATTCAAATTTCAAGTGAGTTAACATTTCTAGCAGATTACAGCTCAAAAGTTTTCAATGCCAGAGAATAATAAGTGTATTTTTGTAGTTTTTGCCATTAATTTTTACATTATTACTATACTTTTATAGCTAATTAAATCTTAAAAAATTTCTTTGACAAACTCTAAAAAGATTTATCAAAATCCGAATAACCGTTTAGGAGGTGTATCAAATCATACACCCGGACAGAAAAATTTTATATATAAGGTATATATATATATATATATATATATATATATATATATACATATATATGTATCTTAATTAAATATGTCATATGTTTTATTTTAATAATAGAATGGCAATAGTGATGATTGGTATTTTGTAAGAAACAATATTAATAATATTTCCCCTGTGAAATAAATATACATAAAATCGAATCCACCTGTTAAAATCGGTTTATATATAATAAGGACCATGTCAGGCACGTGAGACATTTGATCAATCAGGAGAGTCCGCGATTGTCGTCGGCAATGTTCGCTCAGACATGTGACGTCACACACTCTTCTGTTTACAACGAGAAAAATATAAGGTCTACACTTGATGGCAGTATGTTTTTATTAGCTCTTTTCATACTCATATAAGTCAATTAAAACATATATATATATATATATATATATATATATATATATATATATATATGCAAACAATATTATATTATGATAGTATAATGATATTCCCAGAATAGGTGTATACAATTTGTATCTTTATGTAAAAATCAATGTATGTATTTAAGTCAAATACAGCAAATTTTCAAATTAAAAAAAATTACATATAAGGACTAGAAGTCCATGTAGTATAAATGACTCATTAATTAATATACTAAACCATTAAAGTCCTACGGAAACTGGTTCAATTATAAAAATTGTTGATTTTTTTAAATTTGCTTTTAGAGAATACTCCGAGTTCACGTGTTAGTTCGTTTTCAATGATGTCTAATAAATCCACTCGGAATACTTTTAATCACTCATAAATTAATTTATTTTTTATTGATTAAGTCGATTGTTTACACATATCGGAAAGTTCATGTAACTTGCCTCAAGGCAAAACACCAATACCAACTAGTTTAACTATGTATCCATCCTTCATTTCGGGACCTCTAGTTTTCCTCGGTTAATTAATGCAAAAGCACGTTCGGCCAACGACATAAAATCGGTTTTATTCAAATACACAACTCCATTTATTTATTGCATCGGCATCGGCAATAAAACTTAGTTATATTATCCAATTTAATTTAGATATCGAGACTAATGCGAACGAACGACCACCATTTCAACACTTATAGTAATACAAACACACACACACGACACACAAACACACTTATTGGGGCACGTTGGCACGTACACATATAAAAATAATTGGAGTGAATTAATAACGGAATCGATATTTACTAATTGTACTAATTAGTAGGATGGTAGTAATAGTCCACTACTGAGTTGGAAATTTTTTAACAACTACATTTGAAAGTAGAGGGCAAAATATGTGTAACCACCCAACACCTTGATTCTTCCGACTCTGCTATCAGGAGATTAACGGCAAAGTTTAAAAATCCACACTAAAAGTATTTTCTTTCGTTGTTGTTTTTTTGCTCGTGAGCACTGTTGTTTAGTTACGAGACCTCAATATAATTTTTACGTATACTTTAATCAATTGTTGCATAAGATGTATTGTTATTGTATTGTTAAAAAGAATCAACTGAACCTTAGATGTGCAATAATAAATAAAATAGTAAATTAAGTTAAAAATGTACTAAAAGATGTATTGAAAAAATAGTTATCCCAACTCTGCTGATAAATATTTTGACAAAATACCAGATCAAAGTTATCCACAGTGTTATCTCTTTGAAAAATATACTCAATAAGTTTATATTTTGCATTTGTTGAATATTGTAGCTATTATTTTTTAAAATCAATTTAAAATTATAATCATACTTTTGTAAAATTTTTCAAGGGGTTAATATTAATTTAACTGTTTTTGATAAGACTTAATATATATGAGAAATGTTATAATATTTCATTGGAGAGGCCTTAAGAAATTCTTCTAGTTTAATGTAAGTAGTCTTTGGATAATGTATACAAAAGTTCATAAATTTAATATAATGTCGATAATATTATAATAAGTACATATAAATCTCATTTTATTAGTTTTCTTAAACTAAAAATATGTATTAAATTAGGAATTTATATTTTCTAAAGGTCCTACTTAAATTTGTGTTATTTTATTTTGGAAATCCTTGCAAAAATTTTGCAGAATCGACCTTTAGGTAAGTAAAATCATACTTTTTTGTAAAATTTTTCAAGGTTTTGATATTAATTTAACTCTTTTTGATAAGATTCAATATATACATATATAAGACACGTTATAATATTTCATTGAAAAGGCTTTAACAGAATCTTTTAGTTTTATCAATAAGAACTTGGTGATATATGTAAAAAAGTTAAATAAATTGTTAAATATTTTTCAAAAGATTATTATGGCCTATGGGGTATATAAGTAGTTTAATACACACCATTTGGGGTTTCGGTATTTTATACAAAAATTCATAAATTTAATATAATGCCAATAATATCATATTAACTACATATAAATTTCATTTATTACCATTTTCAGCAAAAATCTCGATTTTCGCACAATCGACTCCTACGGGTGTCTTAATGTATGAACACACAAGGGTGTATATATAAATAGATACAAAAATAAAAATATAGGGATGGCTATTATTCGACTAATGCATTGTTATATATATACACTTATATATATACTTATATTTATAATGTTTTTCGGTTTTATTATATTCGACTAACGACTTGTAAAAATTGAACATCCGGATCCATGAGAGAGCGTTGGCCGAAACGGAAACGCGTTCGAGGAGCAAAGGAACCCTTCGGAAAATATTATTTATATATATATATATATATATATATATATATATAAAGTATATTTATATTTATAGGAGGATAACAAATGATATTTTGGACAATTTGCCAAATCATCGCATTAATGCATTAGTTGAGCGAATGATGATCCGTCCATCCGAAAAGGGGTTGCTGATCTTTATATCTTCCACACTAAATATGTATATATATATATATATATATATATATATATATATACTAGCATACCCAGCCTTGCGTTGCAACGGCTCTTATTAAAATCCACCTGATTGAAATTTGAATCCGTTTGACAACCAAATTTCAAACCTTTTGTTATAAAAAAATCATATCAGTCAAAATATAAATAAAATCCGGATTGAAATTTGAATTTGATGGATCAATCCCATTGATTGGTGTTTTTTTTTAAAACTTAAATAATAAATGAACTGAAATAATTAAGCATTTGAATAAATGAGTACATTACAAAATGTATAATGAATAACCAAGCGATTTTTATAAATTTGTTATATCTTATTTGGTATTACGTCCTATTTTCCTTTTAGCTTACATTTTAACATGTTCTACGATGCTTTATTTAGAAATGGTTTCGCATACTATTGGTCACATACTGTTGGAAACTTGAATAAGCCTTTAAATTTTCTTTGAAAATTTTCCTTAAATTAATGATTAGACAGTCATCGATTTCAACATTTTTTAAATTGTGTTACTTACAAAACATAATATAAAATTTCCGACTATAAATTCATATTCATACTATCCCTGAAAC